TATATATAATTATTTTTGTGATTTGATATTTGTGTGTTTTCGCTGTCATTAAATTGTTTATTAAATAATTAAATATTTTTGCAATTTAATAACACTATTTAATAATCATTATTAAAATAATTATTATTTCAATAAATAATAACTAAATAAATAATTTGTGGTGTATGTGTGTGTGTGTATGTATGTATGTATGTATGTATATATATATATATATAATAATTAAATCATTAGCAATTTCTGTGATTTGAGTAAATACTGAGCAAATCTTGCGCAATTTTGTATGCATTTCTTTTGTTGTCATTAAATAATATAATTAAAAAAGGGTAATTGTGACTTTATTTCTTGGAATTACATTTCACAATTGCAGTTGTGTTTCTCGGAATGGCGATATCTCATAATGTGAGTTCATGCATTATTTTAAACTTTACGTCACAATTACCCTTATATTTTTTTTTTACTCTGAGGTCAAAAGTGGCTTCAATGGCATCGGCTTGCAACCTTGACAAAGCACTAGTAAAGTTCAATCGCCTGAGATGGATGAGGGTTTTTCCTGCATCCAGTGTCTCCAGACACATAGCAATGCCTAGTCAGCATAAATGTGAACTAAAACGGCATGTTCTTTACTCTATATCCAACGGCCTGTCTCTCAACTCCAGAGTATCTATGTCAACAAAGTCTCTGTCTTGATAATAAAGGCGTCAGGTGTTTGTTCGAAATATATTTGCATATAATTAATGCTGGTAAACATGAGCCTTAAAGCCCATAATAAGCACTGACTATTGAGGACAGAGCAAAGAAGGTTCAGACAACTGAAAGAAGGCAGAAGGTAAATGTTTCCTAGGTTACAACCGAAGCCTCCATGTAAGTGAACATTGCAGTCCAGTGAATAAGGTCATATCCCCGTCTCTGTCAATGAGTTATCAGTCTGTTACTCCTACAAACTTTCCATTGTATTGGCCTTCACCTCAAATATTTATTACACTAGTATGCTTGCCTACATTTGAGTTGCTGTCAAATTGGCAAATTAGTGTTGACATAATATGCATAGTTTTCATACTGGTTTGTTATTTTACAGTGTAAAGGTTATAATCTGTCTATAAATGCAGTAAAAGCACAAGTTCTGTTTTATTTTCAAGTACAAGTAGAGAAAACTATGCATTGACATCACTGAATAAATATTATGCAAAATAACCTAAATCAATAATAAGGCATGTGTTCTACGCAGAACTATTGATTTTCATATAAACACAGATGAAAAAACACACATTTTCAAGGGTTCATGAATGCACAACATGCAGAATATCAAGGCAGTAAGAAACTCCCTGTTGAAAAAACCAGCATATGCTGGTTAGGTATGTTTTGACGCTGGGATGCTGGTTTAAACTGGTCTTTTGCTGGTCCTTTGCCAGTACATGACCAGCATAAACCAGCAAAGGACCAGCAAAAGACCAGCAAAGGACCAGCTTAAACCAGCATCCCAGCGTCAAAACATACCTAACCAGCATATGCTGTTTTTTTCAACAGGGCTTACTCACCTCTCCCCTGTTTGAACCGGATACTGGGCGTCTAAAGAATAACTTGCGTTCTTCAAACTTCCATCTAAACACCCCTGAACAGCCAATAAACCACCTACAGCCGCATGAATAAGGCTTAAAAATATCATATAAAGACGGTCAGATGTGTCCAACAGGTATGTGTTGCGTCTGCGCCGCTGGTGTAAATAATTCAAGCGTTTTCTTCTCCCTCTTTTCGCGTTTGGTTACCAGAGTTTGTAACCTGACTCCACCTTTTCGAAAAGTTTCAAACATGAGGGTCCGAGGCGCTCGGTGAGTGGCGTTCTGATTGGCCAATCGCGCTCGGGTTTGGAACCCCAACGGGCCAATCAGAAGCCAGAGAGGCCCGTGCGTCCAGCCTTCCACATGGTTTCCCGTCATTATCCTGTGAAAAAATCCAAGGCTGAAAATGTCCAAGAGGAAATTCTGTTGAACAATGAAGGGGGACTCTCCTAACTACTGATTTGTTTTCTGTAAACAATATGGCTGTCGAGCCGTTAAGGACGTTTAATTTAGTTGTTTGCGTGAAAAATACCTGTAATTTACCTGAGTTTTATTATGTATATATTTTTGCACTTTGTTAACTTTGTATGAAAGGTATGAGACAGATCCAATCAGTCCTCCCTGGATGTCTTTGACCTGTTTTTTTTTTTTCCGTTCATAAATGTAACACATTCAGAAACATCCGGTGGCTGTAAATAATCACTTTAAACCATATAACATCCTCTTCAGTGGCTGATAACACAAACAGCCCTAACACCTGCGACCACAGATGGTGATAATCTAGTACGATAATAATACACAGCAATGCTATTGCTTCTAAATTTAATAACGTTTTCTTTCTTTCTTTTTTAAACCCGAATGCATTGAATTTCTCAACATTCATTTCTTATTCTAATAATGCTTTTACTAGGCTACTATTAAAATCAATAATTTATTCAGACCACTATATGGTTTTTATTTGGAAGAAAAGCAGTGTATGGGTGTTACACAGCCCGATGGCGCCACCCAGTCTTACAACTATGTATTGCTGCGTTTGGGGAATATTCCATTTTCTTAATATACTTTTTTTTTTTTTTTCATGCTTTTATTTAAAGAATTAACTACATGCATTTATTTATTTTAAATTTTTTTAAATAAATGTATGGTTCAATTACAAATAAGTAGCCTACAATCAAAGGTCGGATATAATCCGTAAACACGTGCATTTTAGCACGCAATTCTCATTTGAATGTCATGTTGTACCATTTTGGGTTGCCATCACATAATAAATGACTAAAATAGCCATTTATTCTAAAATAGAATAAACTATGCCTCCAGCGATATAGTAGCTACGTCTGAACGTCTTCGTATAATTATTGTTGATTCATCTAGAAGGCATATAATGCAGTGGTATAAAACATTTATACTAATGTGATTATCTTCATTACAGAGAGTGCATTATATAACATTAAGCAAATGGTCTTTGTCAGTTCGCATGAAATGTGCTTGAATAAAACGTAAATTCTGAAAACCTACTAGCCACTTAATAATAAACAAAACCTTTGAGTTTCCTTCCAATTTCTGAGACGCATATTAACAGTTACTCCACATAATTATGCTACTGTCACTTTAAACCAGTTCCTGTTTTCTCTCTCTCTCTCTCTCTCTCTGTGTGTGTGTGTGTGTGTGTGTGTAATCTAATCTATTTGAAGATAACGGGCCGCTGCTTGAGTTAGGAAGTCCGAATCATTTTAGCGATTCGGTTTGTTCGAACGATTTGTTTGCGACTTGCAACAACAATTTAAACATGTTATTTTGATAACACATACATATTTCGTTAAATAAAAATATTTTATCATTGTATAATTGATTCAGTTATATAAATTAGTATCTTACTGTACATATATTTGCGATGTAGCCTACATTATTGCTCTGAAACGCTGATGGTGTTTTTTCCAAATGCCGCGATTTCTAATTGCTTTGCGCAATGAAACTATTGTCATATAATGCTATACTTACTATTTATTCTTTTTTTTTTATGTTCGTATATCGTATATTTATGTTCATATCGTATATTTTCTACACCCAAACACACGTCTCGCGATGGCTACACTCAAGTGATTCATAACCGCTTTGCGAATCGACTCCTCCGACTCGTTCAAAAGAACCGGCTAACA